ATAAGATGTCAAATCTTTGTGTCAAAATCCGTGAAGTTTACTAAATATTCAAAAGGAAAATAATGTAATGTTTGACTGGCACTCATTTGTGCGTATGTCCGTCTATTCGCGTAGCTAGTTGCAGACACCTGCTCACGTACATTTGCGTTTCTTCGACACACGCAAAGGCAACCTGTGGTCTCTATTGCAACTACAATGTGCGGACCTTAGAGTTTCTGGAAGAAAGCGCATAATCTGGCACGGGAATGGACATTTCAACACCGCCGACTCAATACCAGCCGACCGGTGTTATCTTCCATAGTGTGAACGTCTTAGATCAACTTTGAGTCGTAGATAATTTGGAAGTTTCGCTCTCTGTCTTAGTAATTTATTAGTTACAACAGCCTATTTGTTTGAATGGTGTTTAATTTTCAAAGTTTTCATCATACCGAAAATGGAATTACTAAGTCAAAGAGGAAAAGAAAAATTTGCACACAAAGGTCATTTCATAGTTTGTATGTTGCTAAGTCATGTTTTTTAAAATGATCCTTAATAAATTACTTTTATTTGTTTTTAAAAAGTCGGCGAAAAAATCTTATAGTTTGCATGTCGTTGAGTCAGCGGTGTTGAGTCAGCGGTAATGAATCGTCTTGCACCCATCTGGCATAATCAGTAATGAGAGGGTATTTTTATTTTTAGTGCTAGACTTTGCATGACAAACCCTTTCCTCGTCCAATTTTTTCCGGCCTTGCGCTGAATTGATGTATATTTTTGACGATAAATATTATGACCAGGAGTTGAACATGTCCAATGCGCTCAAAGCGTAAAATTACGCTCAAATAATTCCCAACGGTTCGCACACTGGGGTCGTCTCTCCAGGTCGATATTATCAAGAAATCAAAGCAGTTAACCTTCTAACCACTCAGTCATATCGAAAAGGAAAAAGTATAATGTTTAAACAATATGAAATATTTCCTTCAAACTTCATGGTTTTGTGGCAAAGCAAATCGAGTTTGGTGAAGATAAAACAGGAAAGACTTCATTTTTATGTACCATGTCCCCTCGGGATGTACGCGGTCATAGCTCTCTATAACTTTCTGGTCTTCGTATCTCCTAATAAACTTTGTCTTTCTATTATTTCTCCTAAGCTCTGTTCCACCATCCATTTAGTCACTAAGTATGTTATACGTTGTTTTCCTTTGTCTCTCTTGCACTATATCTGTCCTGCAAGTATCACATTTTCCAAGACCCTTTCTTCATTATAAGCCCCAGAAACTTCAACTGTCTCTCTCAGATGTTAAGTATAAGTTTGCTTTTTGTTTCCATTTCCTCCAAAACTTTGTCATTGCTCACATGTTCGGTCGATGGTATCCTCAGTATCTTTTTGTAGAACCACATTTCTGTTGCTTCAATTCTCATCTTTGAAGTGATTATCCAGCACCCACTGCTATACAAGAGGACAGATATCACGTAGCATTTTAGTACACTTTTCCTTGTTTCTAGCGATTTTTTCTATTTTACGGCATTTAAAAATAGCGCGTGATTACGTCTTTGATAACATTTTGACCTTTAGACGAATCTAAGCAAATGCCAATAAAAAAAAAAGTGAAATAGAACTTCTATATTTACACTGGGGAAAACAAAGGCTTTTGTCACTAAAAATCTTTTCTACCAGTCTCTTATTCGTAGAATATGTGCGTACTGAGGCGCCTAATTTGTTTCAGGTCTCAGCTACCAAAAGAACGAGATTATCGTTTACAGATAATTTATAGAAACTGCAGGGACTATGTGCCGGCTGTTGCGGCCAAAAGCGAAAATAAATGTGTCCCGTGTTGAATCGTTTCTCGTAATCAACTTTCATCCGACATTTCAAAGCAGACGTCTTCGAGGGGAGTAATTAAATATCAATTACGTTTCTTTGCGAAGGTGTGTTGTAACTTACGTCGAGCTTTCTTTCAAGTCCGCCGTTTGCACATTTCTCTTACTGAGAGTAATGACGTTCAGCATTCCTGTCGAGGAACTGAGTTCGTTGCGTCAGGGTGGGCAACATATGCAAATCTTGCGTACAATTTATTTTTTGATGGCTTCCTGGACACGTTTACTGTTAATGAAACATTTAAAGTAGATTATTAAACTGTGAAAATGAGGGCTATTTTTTATAAAAATCAAAAGTCAAAATTTTTTTAAGGTTCTTCACTGTGGAATAATAGTGATTGATAGTTTAGCACGTCGTTACTGTTTTAGAGGATTCGAGCCTCACTAGGGTTATCACATTTGTGGCCTTATGTCAAACAAGGCTTAGTAATTAATTGTAAGTTGCCTTGCACACGATTACTATTGTAGCGAGTTTGATCTTCACTTAACGCCCTAAACTTGAAGCCTTTCGCTAGATGGAGCTGACTTTAGTAAGTGCATCTGCGGTTTTTGGATCGGCTGTCTGATTTTGCAGAATATTTTGAGAGTGTAGAGTTTGATACTTATATCAAACTAACCTTGGTAAATATCAAATTAACTTTTCTAT